TAAGGAATCGTGCAGTAGGGCACTTCTCTGTTCATATACTCTATTGTTTTAAAATACTTTCTTTAAAGCTGCAGTAGGTACAATCATGAAGGTGGTTCTGCCTTCTCTACAGAGGCTTTTAACACCTATTTACTTCCAGCTTGGCTGCTGTGTTCATGGACATGAAATTCTTACAGATGACAAAGGAATTACTCTGCTTGTTAGATGAGTGATCTAGTCGTTAAAGCCCTTAGGTTTATATTGACTGGATGTATAAATAACATTTTGCAAGTCTGAAACAGGTACTTCTGCAATAAGCCTTTTGTCTGAAAAGGTTGGGAGAGCTCTGCCTCTCCTATCCACTCTTGGTATTTTATCCCAAAAGTCGTGCACAAACTTTGGGGTACAGTTGTACTTGGTGTGCATACATATTCATGTGATAGTGCTATAAGGGCTGACATGTTAGATCCAGCTCATCTTCTCCTTCCTTATCTTTCCCTGCTGCACCATCTATTTCTAGCCTGCTTCTACAAACTGAGTTCCAGGAGCTTCTTGCTCATTTTCCATTCCTTTGCCTAATTGTGGCAGAATCATCTTCATATTGTGGGGTCGTCTGGACCCTGATTTGAAAATATAGATTCATTCTTTCCTGATTATACCTATTGCAGCTTTGAAATTTTCTGCTTTAACCATGTATTTATCAAAAATGCAGTACCTTTGGAACTAATAATGTCAGACAGCTGTGGTAGCAATAAAATTTCATGTTTAAAAGAAAAAAATGTGTGCTAAACAAACCAGTATCACCCTTCCCCAGTGTGATCCCTGTTTGCTCTATGGGTGTGCAGGAGCAATGCTTTCATAGTTCTAGATCCCAGCTATGTATATCGGTTGCTAATTCTACCCACTTGCTATTGTGGCTTAATTGAAGTTGGGACCAGTCTGTCATCAATTTCTGCATCCATGTGGTTCTGTCACTATTATTGTGGCACTTTTTGAGGCTTAGTGTATTCATGCCTTACATACCAAGAAAAGGAATTTGTTGCATTTGAGATCTCCATGTACAGACAACATGTGGTAGCCTTAAAATTGTCTGAAGTACATCAGTGTGGGAATTGGGAGTAGAGATTCTGTCATTACAATTTACCTGGGTCTCCTGAATTTTAAAGACACTAATTTAGCTTATAACCCACATTTATTCTGTCCCTATTTTCTCCACAGAGTTTTAAAATGTTTTGGTCGCTGTGAAAACTATACAGTGAACATTACAAGCTTTCATTGTAAATATTGATTAGGGTAAGATGGTATTATTTTGGGTCTTTGCCCATATATTGCATCATATTGTGTTTCTCTCAGGCTTATGCAAATATTCACGATCGAAACCGAAGTTGGAAATGGGCCTCAGTGTGTTTATATTCTTCCTGTACTGATTGGTTTTGAGTCTCATATCCAATTAGGGAAAAGCATATGGTGCTGTGGCTTGTTATTTAGGTATTGTTTTACTAAGAGAACTGCAAGCATCAACTTTCTCATAATATCTTCCACAAAAAATGTAGAGAATGTTTATATTAATGAGATAGATATGTCTGTCAGAGATTCTGCAGTACAAATGAGAGTCATCTGCATAAAAAGCATTTTTGTCTGTAGCTCATTAGGAGCGTGTACTGTCAAGACAACCATGATTACTGACAAATAGGAAAAGCACCAAACAGTCAGGAGCTACTTAAGAGTCTCCTCTAAAAAGTCCAGGTTCTCAACAGGACTTCAAATAGCCTTTCCTAAGTTGAAGAAGTGTTAGCAGCACTGTCTCTCTCATTTATGTTCTGCTCCATTGCATCCTCTTTAAAAGTAATGAAGTTAGGAAGTTGCTTAGATGGAGAGAATCTTTTGATTGGTGTATAAGCATTATACATGAATAGGTTAATGACTATGAACCTCCCAGCTGGAAGTTTCTAACACTAACTTACAGTTTCCATCAAAGTAATTTACTAACATAAATTATTTATATACAGGGCTGCAAGAAATTAATAATAACAATAAGGCATCTCCATGGGATAATCACCATACCAGCAGCACTCATCTGTACTGTGTAGCCCTGCAGGGGGTTCTAATTATCTCCTGCAAACCACACCTCTTGTGATTGGGGTTTTTTGCTTCATTGAAGTGCTGCCACTTCCAGTGTTTTGCAAAAAAAGTGTGCCTGTCATGCAGAGAAAAGGTTACAAGTACAAGTATTACAGAACTGCAGTTGATGTAGATTTTCATACCAACAAAAAAAGTACTAAAATTGATTCTGGAGGCATTTAATGAGGTGCCTACGTTTTTTCTTCAGGTTATTCACTGGAATTAGCCCATCATCTGCTACCATTTCCCATGGCTTCCTGGTGATCTATGGAAAACTGGCAGTTTGCATGGTGCTGCCTTCTCTGTGTTTCCTACAGCTAAAATTACATTAAAAGAGGCTAAAAAAGCATTAAACTCCCTCTTAAAATTATTCTTCTGTATAGACAATTGCAGTATTTGCACAGTAGCATAACATGATTGCAAATGGCAAAATTCTGGTGAGAGGTGATGTTCTCTGTGGCAATAGCTGTTCAGTGTAAAGTACTTCCTTCAGCTACTGCTGAAGCACTCAGATCAAAGCAACAATCCTAATACTATTTTATGCTTTCTAAACACACTCTTGTCTCAACACAAGATTACAAAAAAAAAAATTAAAATAAAGACACCAAAGAAATTAAAAAACAAAAATCAAAAACTGAAACAAGCAAAAGCTAAAAAAACCTTACAAATATCCACTGAAAGGAACAATTAGAAGTATGGTATTGATTTAAAAGGGGACAAAAGTTCCTATGCTGCTACAACTAAAGCTCTGCCTAATGCATCTGGAGGTGAGGCAGAGCCCTTGAATATTGGGTAATACATAGAGATCTCTTAGATGGAGGGACTAAAATAAGCTTTCATATATACCTTGTTTCAGTCTTCTTACAGCCCCATGAATCCACAGGTGAATTTAAGCTGCCTCTACAATGTAATAGAGCAGTGACTGTGGAGAACACCAGTGGCTGGCTGACCTGTGATCATGATAGCACAAATCAATAAGCAATTGATTTCTTTCGTTCTGAGCAACCTGCAAGTGATAGATCAACTTCACTGTTACTCTATCCAATATGGAGTCAGAAAACCAAATGTCAGGTGAACAGAAGCATGATTTGCTGTCACTGTGCCATTTGAAGCTCAGCTAAAGCTAGGCATGAGCTATGCAGATTGCATGGCTGAAGTCCATGATCTGAATCTGTGCCGGGATTTAGGGCAGTATATGCAGTCAGAGAGGAATAGTAAATTCTTTCATGGTAGTGAAGTCCATGTTCTGAAAGACATCTAGGGTTGTTCTAGATATGAGTAAGTTTTTATATTTGTGTCAGTCCTTTTGAACAAGGTAATAACAAAATTCTAGCCCTTCAGATAGAGGTCTCCTCCCCAGCTACTCACTTTGCAACCTGAGGAGTCCTAATCTGTTTACATGTTCCTTCCGAAGAAACTGTCATATCCTTGCTTGTTCCTGCTGCTTTTCTTGGAATCTGTCCCATTCTACCATATCCTTTTGAGGTGAGGAGAACACTGTGAGTTTTCAGGATACTGGCACAAGTGCATTCTGAGAGCATTTTTATACAGCACACACATTTAACATCACAAGCTATTTTGTTTGTTCTGTCTGAGCATTTCTTAACTACAGGTGACTGCTTATTCTGTATGTTTTCTGACCTCTGGTGATTGCTGAGATGATGTCTGGCAGGGAACTGTCTATTACTATCCCTGGATTTTAGTCCCAACTTGAAATAAGCAGTTTAGAATCTGTCACCTTATAGGTAAAGTCCTTTGCATGTGGACATGCACATGTCTATTCTGTAGGAAATACCCACTACATCCATGAGCATGTGGGTGAGTTGCTCTCAGTTGTGTCTAAGAAAACACTGGAAGCAAAGAGAGACAATCATAGAAATGTACTTTATACACCACTGTCAGAATAAATTGTGGAAGTAAACATCTGCCATAAGAGCTAATGCCTTTGGAAGAGAGGCATGGCTGCCTGAAATTTTTTTATTGGTCTGCTTGGTGTAAGCTTATCCTTCATATCTCAAAAACATCCTTGTTAGCCCCCTAAGACATACCATGGGCCTTGAAGGAAGGGAGGAAAGCAGCTCGGATCATCCAACTCATCATTTCTAAGCAATAGCCTCCCTCTCTCATCTGCAAGTTCCTATCTCTTATTCATCCTTTTAAAACAAAGTTCCTGTAATTCTGAACATCATTCAGCTTTTCTCTCTTTGCCAGGACTGTTAGGAAAATCTTAAGCAATGAATAGTAAAAGGCTGCATTTGGCAGGATCTCTGATGATGGGCTGGAAGGCAAAACCAAATCCTTCCAGCTATTCCTTATGTCAGGAGGGATGTACTGTGTCCCTTCATGGTCTCTATCTGCCTTTTTTTTTTTTTTTTCTCTTCTGACAGATAGGAGACAAGTCTTCTTATATACTGAATATTTTATACTTCGTGGGGTTTTTTTATACTTTTTGCTTTTGTTACAAAGTGTGATGAGAAAGATCCATATTACTGTTCCACAGGAAACAGCTGTTTGTACGTGTTTCTTGACAGATTTCCACTGAAATGCATCCTGGAGAAAACAAAAAAATCCTGCCTTAGTTTAAAGAGCAAACTGTATTTGTGGTACCCCTATTGTCAGGCGTGAAATTGTGAGAAGTATCACTTTCTGTCCACCACTTTCTGACATATTGTCACTTGGTTCTGTACAGGATAGTTGCTGCAACAGACTTGAGTTTATCAAGGATTTCATCTGGACAATTTATGGTAGTTTTCTCAATATTGTTGATTTGAATGTTTTCTTTAGGCAGTACATGTCAGAGATATAGTCCTGATAATTTTCTGTGGAGCTTTCAAAACTGCATTTTTAAAAGATAAAAAAAATCATTAAGGTAAAACACCATGTCTTGTCTGCTTTCACAGCAAGAAAAGCTGGGTGATATCTGCTTCTCCCTCCGTTATGTGCCTACTGCTGGCAAGCTGACTGTCGTCATTCTGGAGGCGAAGAACTTGAAGAAGATGGATGTCGGTGGACTATCAGGTATGTGTATGAAAATCTGCTTGAAAATTTTGTGGGCTTGTAAAGGCAGAAAATCAACTAGTGTTCTGTTGAAGGTCTCTTGGCTGAGAAGGTAAGGGCTCTTGCTTCCTGTTGAAAGATGTGGTTTGTGTTTTCTTGAAAGTTGGGACATGACTGAGTATATCAGAACTAATTCTAGCTTAAAAAAAAAAAAATCACAATACATTGCATTACACTCCAAGACAAGGTCTGAAGTGTTACACAATCAGATGACAGTGCAAGCTTTCTATACTTTCCTTCTCTCCTGTTGCCTAGAGATAAATACAAACTATTCAGGCAAGGGGAAAAAATATCTGACTACAATTCCTATTGTCTGTTTAATCTCACAAAATGTGAGCATTTCACTGCAATGTTGCAGATAATAGGTAATAGAGGAACTCACTACAGGTTGCCATGCTGACTGCTGTTTGAGGTGCTAGGAAGATTGTTTCTGCATGTGAAGGGCTCAGGTGTGATTTCTTAAACGTGCAGAGTTAGAGGTGCTCTGCGTTTGCATGCACACCAGAAATCAAAATGACAATCTTGTGTGTGTGGTAGGCAGTGAGGCTGATACATCCAACATGCTCAGTACCTGCTTCAGCCCTGGCAGCCTTTCCAAGGGATGAGGCTGTGCACACTGCGTGTGACAGGGCGTGTGCCACCTCTGAGGGACACTGCAGTCAGCACACGTGGCACCTGGGCTGTGTCCCAGCAACCTGGTGCAGCTCCCTGTAGGTTTCTGTTCTCTGCTTGTCTGGAATTTGGACACAAATTACTGTCTAAACTGCCAATTAGTTGAGACCAAATTAAATAACAAGATGCTTTATAAGGTGAGGTCTTTCCAGGAGAACTTTGGTTTGTATGCCTTCTGTTTAGAAGAAACAGTTGCTGCCCACCGTTGAGAATGAGGCTATTTCCAGCACAGTTCTAGGACTGAAAACTTTTACAGCTGCCACTAACGAACAGATGATGTAATTGCTCATCTTAATTTACCAAGTGACAAGAAAAAAAGTGTTTTGCTCTTGTTTTTTTATAATCTTAGCACAAGGTAATAGCTGTATGCAAAATAAACAGAAGTGGGAACTTAATAAAAGCAACCTTGAAGGTTTTATTTACCACTTTTGATGACTAATAACTGGAGGCCCTTCCCATAGTGAAGGGAAACAGTCTTCCATCAATAACCAGTTATTTTTTGTTTTTTGGTTTATTTGCATCTAAGGTCATCCACTGCACAGCAACAGATACAAAAGTAAAGGACATACAAGTGTTGTTATAGTCATTACTCAATAAAGTCTAGCCTTTTCTTGTCCACAATGGACACTCGATTAAGACACACCACTAATAGTTTCCCTAATGCTCATAATGAACAAATTGCAAATTAATGTTCATAAGCACATTTACTCTTAATGGTTTCCTAATGAAAGATTAGATTCTCATAATGACAAAGCGTGGGGATTTTTGACTGAGGGTTGCTCTGACAGCCAGATCATCTATATTCTTCTCCAAACTTTGTGAGAAATGCAATGGATAATGGGTACTCAGCTTATAAGGAGTGAAAGAGAGGGGCAGGGTAACCACTAATGAACTGAAGGGCTTCTACAAACTTCAGATGGAAAATATAGTACATTGTGTTGGAAGTAACTATGAGGAAATGAATGGACTTCATCTTCTTAATGTTCTGAGGCACATGGAGGACATTTAAATTTCTAGGGAAAGAGAGGTTTTGTTCTCCTTTTTTAGGGCCATGCCAAACCTGAAACATCATGTTCTCTTGGAGACAAACAAACCCAATGGGATACCATAGTTGAAGTAGGCATTCAGAAGTCACTGGCAGTGATAAGTGGCTGTTAGTCTGGTATTCCTGAGGCAGTAATTATAGATGAAATAATGTTGGTTTAAAGTAGATCCAGTATCTTTCATTAGGGAATTTATCTTTTGAATAAATTATGCAACAAAAACTTTGCAAATCAGGCTGAGATTCTGTTGTCATTATTCACACTAAATAATACCTGCTTTCTAAGTGCTAACAAAGGTGACAGGATTTTATCTTGATTGGCAAATATTTCCGCCTAGTTTTGTTACTTTCTCTAGATACTGAAATGTCTTTTCATATTATAAAACTGAAAATTTTGCATGACAGTGGAGATGCAAAGGTCAACAGTCAAATGTGAACTCAGACTGAATGTTACCTATATATTCAATAGAACCATTAACAAGAGGTGAAAATGCTGTAGTTGACACAGATGGGGGAAACAAATCCTAGTGGTTTGTCAAAAATAAGCAAAAAATACCTTTTTGTTATTGTTTTGAGTCTGGGATATATCTTTTAGTTATTCTTTCCTGGTTTTGAGATGATGCTGGAAAAGCAGAATACAGATGTTTGGAAAGGGTTCTGCTTTTCTCTTGCACTCATCCTTTATGCCTTTGGGAAGTTTACCTGCCTCACAGAGAGAAGGAGCAACGCCCTGGCTCCCACAGAGGGAACGCTGACAAGCATTCACAGCACAGTGGTGGGCAACTTCATGGCTTCCTTCTGGCTGCTTCTCTCCACATCTCAAGTATTACTGCTGCCAGTAAATATCTGCTACACCTTTGCACCTCAGTGATGTAGGAGGTTTCAGCAATTACATTGTCTTTAGTCCCAATACAAAGAACAAGTCGCTGTGTCTCAGCAGTCATCTGAACTTTTACTACTCTGTATAAATTTATTAAATCCATAATTGCGGTCTATTGGGCTTAAATACATGCTTGGTTTTCTTTTTATATGTATATTTATGTTATGCAGATAAAGAGAGCCCTGTTACAAAAGTACCCAAAGCAAGACAGATTGAAGTATATTGAGAGCACTATCTTTCCTGGCATTTTTACAGGGCCTCAGCTGGTAAACTTTAATACTTCTAGTCAGCATATATAATACTTAATGGTTACTACAGTTTAAAAAACAGTTGCAGATTAAAAAAAACCAACAAAAAAAACACACTTTATAAAAGCATTTATCACTAGCACTTTTCATACATTTCATAAGCAGTCAAAAGCCAAGCATAAATTGCTTTGGAAACAGATAATAAAAACAAAAAATTAATCATCAAATTCATTAACTTACTCTAACAAAACCCTATCAACCCATCTGAGCAGTAAACACCCAGGTCTTAAACTTAATTTCAACATCAGGCTGAGCAAACCTTGGCTCAAACACTGAAACTATTTAGCCTGAGTTTATCAAGTTACTGCAACAAGTGGCAATTATTAGTTCTGGTGAGCAATGGCTTCTGGCAAGCAATTATGCATATTCTAAAATGGCATTGTAATTATTTAAATTATGTTCAAATGGGTTGCTAATGAATCTGACATCTGGAAGGTGATGTGTAGGAATTAAGGATACAAAGCAATTATTTTTGTTTATCTGAACTTGGTGGTCTTGAGTGGCTTTATAAGCATACTTCACCTAAAATGTCTATGAGACTTAGAAGCTTAGGTCTTAGAGGGAACTTAGGCTCCCATGTTACTCCATTGGTTTGGTTTTGTTTTAATTCCATTTAGGTGATTTGCAGAATTGGAAGATTTCAAAACCAGTTTATGGTTTAGTCTCTCCAAACAGTCCTTAGAGATGTAATCCAGCTAATTCCTTGATCAGAGCACAATGCAGCTCGCCAATGCCATTCAGTTCACAATGGTTGTCTGTTAGGTATAGTACTTCATTAGGTTCATGATCCCTTCTGCTCCAGAAATGGACAGGAATTATCTGCAGCTCCCCTAAGAGATATTCGTATAAATCAAATACTGATTTCAGATACAGATTTAAACAAGTATGAGACTTTATTCTAAATTCATTTTAATCTTATTTATAGCTATAATTTTAACTTGTTTTCTAAAGTGAAATTGGTTGTGTAACCCTTAGTGCAATTGAGTAGTTGCTAAATGTGGTCTGTGGGATAAATATGGTGCTTCTTTTTACTACATAGAAAAATTTGAAATACATACACACATTTGTACAAACAGTTCTACAGATTTCCATCTATTCAGCCATATCCTCCATTTGAATTCAATTTGTTCCTAACATAAAATAAAAACTTTCATTTCAACTTTCATCAGCTTTCCCTGCTTTGACTAAGCCAATCATTGAAATAAATTACCTGAATACCCTGAAAAGCATTTTCCCTCTAAACCTTCAGGAGTGGCTGGGGCTGGCTCCTGAGCAGACTGTTATAAGGTGTTTGGCCACTTAGGCCCTTCAGGTTATGTGCCTTATTTTGGCTTTGTTTGGGTTTTTTAAGAACTTCAGTGGCTCTGTATATTATGGTGAAATAATGGTTTGTATCAGGAAGTCACCTTTTAGCAGCTGATGGTAAGCATAAGCCTTAGCACATCTTGTCATCTTTTCAGGCTTAATTTCAGTATGGTTTATTCTTTCTAAAAATCTTTGGAAGTTAATGTGCTTTTGCTCTCTTTTTATTTTAGTATGCTTAATTTTTAGTGAATATATTTACTGGGAATGTATCCTAGAAGCAAGAAATATACCCTCCCCTTATGTCCTCAGCACTGCTGCCTCTCAGCACTCCCCAGTTTCGATGGGGACTAGATGTCCTAGCTGGCATGGGCTCAGGTATTGCCTTAGGAACTGTTGCCAAGTAACAGATACTGTAGCAGACCCTAAATTGTACTATTTACTGCAAATTAATGCTTAGAAAGAATTGCAAGGAGAATAGGATTGTCATTGGATCCATGTGCTCTTACTTCTGCAGAAAGCTGCAGATACAGTTGTGAAAAGAAAGCAGCCCATAATCAGGCCCATTATGGGGGGAAGCTAATCTCAATATTTGAGTTATAAATACAAAGGGGTGCTGTGTATTTTCTATCTGCCAAGTAAATACTCATAGAGCCATCTCTGGGGACCAAATGGTTCTGTAGCAGGAACACAGCTAGTTTTCTAGAATTCGAAAGATTGCATTCAAATTCAAAAGGCTTAATCCAGTGTTCTTAGA